TATAGATGTACCCCATAGTTAGATTGTTCCACAAACTACTAACACATGTATCACTTGGTTAACTTGTTGACGAAGTTTCTAGCCTATCAATTAATTATAAATATGTTGTCATATGATATGATTTTTTATCTAAGAATACATTGGGTACCTAGTTGTAGAGAATTTAGCTATAATTTATTGAATAAATTCTAATAAATGAGGTATTTTTATTATAAAAGCCAAATAAATATAATAATATTAAAAGATATTCTATTAATAAAATCCTTTTATATTTAAAACTTTTATATATAAGGCTTTTTAAAGAATCTAAAAATATCTTAACATCTTTTTTTATACCAATTCATAACTAAATCATTTATTGATAAGCTTCATTTTCAATAAGCTTAAAGAAAATCCATAATCTCCTTATAAAAATCTATCTTTATATTATAATTTTTCTATAGCTCAATATTTCTATTTCAAATATATATATATATATATATATATAACCTTAGCTCTCAAAAATCCCTTTATTTTGCATAAAATATCCAAATTGTAGTAAAATCCTTTCAAAATATTTTTCTCCTATAAAGAATTTTTTTTCTAAATTTTAAAAATTGATAACTCTTGATCCAATTTTTTAGTTTTTTTAATTTCTACATAATTTAGACTTTATCCTTAAGCTTTATTATTAAAAAATAAATCATAAAGTTACTACATATCTTTTGGCATCTTAGAAATCCTAGCAAGTGCTCCAAGTCCTGATTTATAAGCATCTGAATACTATTTTTTCTATATTTTAAAAATAAAAAAATTAAATGCCAAAAAATTTGTGTATAAAGTTTTGTGACATAATAATATATATTCTTAAAAAAATTTAGCCAAAATCTTGTCAAATTGCTCAAGATATAGCTCAAAATATAACCACTAGTAAATTATGTTACTTATTGCCTTTAAATTGCAAGTACTAACTTCAACTTCCTATATCTTCTTTATTCCAACTTAGAATTCATCAAAAAATACATAAAAACTGTAGCCAAAAAAGTGTTTTCTTTAACTCCTAGTATTGATCTTTCATTTCTCTTTGTACATATGTATTATGTCCAAAAGAATGATAGTAGATACAAAACCAACAGTTTAACTTTGAGCACTTATATCTCTTTTATAAAAACTCCAAATCACTTAAAATTTATACTTAAACCATAGCTAAAATCCTAAACTTCTTAAGCCTAGCTTCTTAAATTCAAATGCCTTCAAAAGAATAACTCTAATTCCTAATAAGGCTTCAAGCAGCCTCCTTAGAATCCATTAGGCATATCTTTTGGCCAGTAGCAATGGAGATTATTATCATCCATCTCCATTCATCCATATAAATATCTTAATTACTCTTTTTGCTACTAAAAATCCTTTTCAATTCTTTTTTTTTTAATTTACATAATTTATGTCTTAAACATCAAATAAAAAAACAAAACAAGATTCCAAGAGTCACCAATGTCTAATAAAGATAGTTCTAAATACATAAAATTATTATCAACATAAAATCAATTTCAATAATAGCCCTTTTAAATTAACTATTTCAAAGTAATAATCTAATCACATTTTATAACCAACTAAAATCTAATAACATGAATTTCATTACATTGTATAATAAATTATATATTAGATATATATATGTGCAATATTTTCACCTGGTAGCCAAACCACAATAGAATAATATATAAAGTCAAAGGAACATTTAGAAAGCTTCTTTAGAAGATATTACGAAATTAATTTATTTTTATCTACTTCTATTTAACCATATAGGTAATTATTAGAATAAACATATATATCTATGATAAAAATATATATATAAATATAAATATCTATTAAAAAATTAATATAAATTCCAAATATATTATTACTTTGACACAATATCAAAACTAATTGTTTTAGAAAGAAATTAGATTATTAAAGGTTTTGAACTATTTTTTAATAATAAATGAATCAACTAGGTTGTATATCAATTATAACTACCAAAATCAATGATGATTCATATTGATTTTTATGTATCTCTTCTTAAACCACACAATACAATGGATATATTAGAAAGAAGACATTTGTCACTCCTACTAGTAGAAGTCAACAACAATAAAAAATTTAAAATAAAAGAGGTCTTGAACTCAAAAAAATATTGAAATAGATTGAGATATCTTATATATTAGTAGTGATATAGTATTTGTGAATATACATAGAATCGTCTAAGCATCTTCTAAATACAATAGAGATGGTTAATGTTTTATATGAACAACATCTATCAAAACCAAGATGAAAAGTTGAAGAATCTTATAATATAAAATAAAAAATATTTAAGTTAGAAGCGACTTTTTACTTTCTTTTTATTTTTTCTTCACAGTATTGTTATAAAGTTTTTTTTAGTAACATAAAAAATCAATAATATTTAGAATGATCTCAAGAATTATACTTTTTTGAGTTACTAGAAAAATCTTTTAAATTATTGTAATCTTCTTGACAACATAATTAAGATAAAGATTGTCTTGAAAAATATATTTTTTTAGTTATAGATTATAAATACAAAACATTTGATATCATGACCTTAAAAAAAATTATAATATTTAATAACATTATTAAAAATAAAATTATTTCAAATAATACTTGAAGTATATTAGATAATATATATATTGTCATGATGTAACATGACTAACAAGTAAATGAGTGAAAAAAATATTATATTTTAGAAGCTCTTATTTCAAAATATTTTTAAAAATTATCTTTAAAATATACTTAATAGCCAAAGGACAATAAACAAAAGTATAAATATTACCTTTTTGTAGACTGAGCTTCTACTTATTTTGTAGGACCATAAATAAGGTAAAAAAAATAGATTAAAAAATATAACTATATATATATATATATATATATATAAGAGAATTAGAAGTTGATTTTAGTAAAAATTACCTCAAGAAGACAAAAATTGATACTCAAAGAGGATCAGTTATCAAGTTGGGTCGAAATCAGACCTTAAAGAACAAAACCACATACCTACGGCAACTCCAAGGTTTTTTTGCAAATCAAAGAGTGAAATTTGGAGGAAGACTTTATAAGATTTTTTAAAGAATTGGATTTGAGTAATTTTAATTTTTAATGATTTTTTATGAGCTTTACAAAGTTAAAATTATTAAGGATGACTCTAGGTTTTATGAAATAAAATAGTATTTATAATTTGGATAATTTTGTGAGTTTTTTTTAGCAAATCTATAGATAAAATATTATAAGATTGTAAATATATTTGTGTTCAATTTATGTTTTAAATTTGAACTTAATTATATAGTTGGATTAGAGGTTATTGAAATTCAAGCAAGTTGTAGTCTTGAAAATTGGATTTTTAGTCCAATAAGGTTATCTAAGATTTGCGACAATTTGCTAATTGGATTGAGGTGATTTTTATTGGAACTAATAATTGACTTGATTTCCAATACTTATGCAAAATTTGAAAGCAAGTTAATAATTCAATTAGGCATTATTGCTACTAAAAGATTAATAATAAGATCAAAGATGGAGGCATGCCAACACCTGAGTGGATTATGATGTTTTTCTGCTATTTTATAAGTTTAATTCTCTTCAAATTTATTGTATTTGTTATTAATTAAGAAATTGAGAGGTGTGTAAAGTTTTAAGCAAGATCAACAATTTAATCAATAATTATTGAGGTTCTAAAATTACCCTATGATTTTTTTGAATTGATTAGATTTTAGTTAGGATTTGTTTAGAGATTGATTAGAGTTTGGTTTATGGTTTAGTATCTAATTAGGGTTGGTTTAGAATTTAGAATTTCTTTAAGTTTTTTTAAGGATTTTTTTAAAGATTCTTGTGGATTTCTTTAAAATTTCTTTAAGATTTCATAAGGATTTTTTAAGATTATTGTGGATTTCTTCTAAATTTCTTTTTAAAAAAATCTTTTAAATTTTTCAAGTTTCTTTAGAATTTCTTTATTATTTCTTTATGATTTCTTTAGATTTTCTTTGGGATTTATTTGAAATTTTAATTGGACTTAATCAATTTTTTATTATATTTGTTAAGCTTTAATTGCAATATATATATATATATATATATATATATGATTCTATTAGAGTTGTTAGGACTTGTTGAAGAATAGAAGAAAAGAAGAACAACCAAAAATTTGTTCTATCAAATTAACCTAAAATATCTCTTTTTACACCTATTCAAAGCCAGATATTAACAATCTAGTCCTACTAAGCCTAAACCAACCTTTAGGACTTAACATATTATAGTGTTTCTTTATTAGGCTAAAAGAAAAGATATAACTAGCCGGCCACAAAATGACATGGCAACATGTTGACATAATCAACTACTACAATCATACAAAGTCAATCATTGAAATAAAATAAAATAAAATTTATTACTACATCAACATTAAAAATAACTAAATAAATAAAATTTAAATAATGGTACGTAACCCAACCTTGTTCCATCACAATAGGAACCCTTCTCCAACACAATTAGACAATAGATCGCCTCAATTGCCTCGTGAAGAAGACGTGATAAGCGCCAGTTGGAACAGGGTGGATAGGAAATCGAAAAATGCGGCCATCCACGAGGTTGTTGGGTGTCGCGGTGGCCGTATTGTGCTGGTCATGTCGAGGTCGCGCTGGTGGTGGTGGTGGTCGTCGTCGTCGTCGGTGCGAGGGAGGGAGAGACCGACGAGGGAATTACCGAGGCAGGGTCGCACAGAATATTATCACCCACAACGGAACAGACAAAAGGGGATTTGTGGAGGTGTTCCACCAGCTCTGGTGCGAGCGAGCGAGCGAGCGTCACTCTAGGTGACCCATCCAGCCAGCTTCCCAAGACCTTTGCGGTCGAACACGAGGTTCTCGCTCCTCCAAGCATACCCGAGGAACCGTCTGTCGAGGAGTTCTGGGGATGCTATTCTCTCATCCTGACTGACGGACTGAGTGACTGACTGACTCCCACCACCATAAAATAATTTTCCCGCCACTGACCCACCACACAGCCCCCCCGCACCATCTGAATACCACCATCTTGTACAGTCTGCGCAACTAGACTATGATATAAAAATGTGCCGAGGGATGGCTTCCAGTCTGTCTCCTCAGAGAAAGGTCCTTCTCACACCCTTGAGCGTAGCCTTTTTCCTGCACAGATGGAAACGTACATGTACAGAATTATAACACAAGAACCTTGCTGTAGAAAGTGATTGCTTAAATTCTTCTGCCAATGGTTCGTTAGATTCTGCTTGCCGTGGACAAATTATGGTGGAGCCAAGTGGCTGCCAGGATGACGGTGTGAAGGTGTGACCCAACTGCTATCTTACAAATACTCCTAGCTCTTTCCGAAGGTTATCATTTTCCGCCTCCGATATTTTTATTTTGTCGCTCAGTCCGATGCCCCCTACACACACTAAACAAGTACTGCAGTTGCTGCGAGGGTCTCAGGCGCTATTGAGTGTGAGGATTGGGTCTGACACCTAGTGCTCATGGTGTTGTCGTCAATGCTACATTGTGTCAGGTTTGGCGTTGGAAGTATCCCGGTGCTGATGAGAAGATTCCGAAAGGCGGTTGCTTATCTCTCTCCCTCAAAGGCTTCCAACATCAGGTGTAGAAGCCTTGCTAGAAGCCTTTGTGGGAGAGGGGGAAACAAACGCCTTGCATTATTGCCGTTCACTAGCAACGAAGCACGCAGTCTCTCAACATTGTAGGGGCTCACGTAGAGCATATAGGAAAGTCTTCCTACTTCTAGCGGAGATAGGCCTGTCCTCTGCATCAGTAGTCTTCTGTGAACTCCATGTTTGCACTCACTGACTCGAACTGGAGATTGAAACCAGAAGCTGTATTCCAAGACCTTTGTCGGTAAGATACAGCCTTGCGGTTTGTGCTAGCATAAGCTTCGTACACTGTTCAGGCGTTTATGGACCTTGACAATAGATGAGGAATTAATCAGAACTATATAACGAGAAGATGCTGAGTAGAGGAGAGCACCTGTTGCGAACGTGGAAGAGTAGAAATCTTCAGTTTCTACTGTTCTCGGTTCTAATTTGTTAGGACTCTCAAAGTGAAGAGCACTCAAGGAGATATGAACCACAGACCGATAGTTCGTGCTCGACCTTACCCTTCAGTGATTTTTGGCTGACAATCACGCGTAGTGATAGACCCACTAGAGCATCAGTTTCTCATTATTCGAATTATCATGAATTTTTTCTCTTTCTAAATGCTTATTTCATTTTTTTAAGAGTTTTGGACTCAGATGTACTCGAAAATATCACTGCAAAAGCATCAGGTGAAAACAACTCCAGACATCCTATTGCCACGAAACCTGCGACATGGAAACACTCTGGATAGCGAGTTTGAATAAGATGTCCAACCAATGCATTCATCAGCTCACACAATTGGGTGTCAGATTAGATTCCTGCGAACTGTTCTTATTTCCGAGGGGTGGGCACTGCTAATGAACTCATGGTCGAGACCTTACTCATGGTGTGTCATGACCAGTAGTACTATGAATCATGTGCAGTATACCGACAAATACTTGTTTTGGAAATGTTTGAAAAATGAGACTACAGATATTATGATGTCAATGGTAGCGACGCTGCATACCACTTGACTGTTCATGCCGTTAGGTACTGTCAATGACTCACATTACTTTGAAAAACGACGTCTCTACGCTCTCATACATCTTCCCTCGGTGCGCACAATCTGAGCGGTTTTAACACTAATCTTATCCCCCATATTACGGAAGAAAACATCAAGTTGTAATATAACAGACAGTAACAGCTGCTCTGTCAACACATCAATCGGGGTACTTCATCTAATACAGATAAGGACAGAAGATTTATGCATAATTCTTCATCATAACATGTAACATCCTTCATCTCCTTCGGGTTAGGAATGTGACTGATAAACCGCCAGAGACGGAACATGTAAACGATGACACCACATTCAATTTCGACGTCAAAGCAGTCGAGCTCCTATTAGGCTTTCCCCGAGTAGAAAGCGAACCGTTGTTCCTTCACTGGTGGATCAGTATCCTGCCAATGACCATCACTCAGATAGATCCTCCTAGATTGATCTGTGTTGACCCAATGGCACACTTATACAGTACATATAATAATAGTTGTTAAAATCTACGCAGGACTTGGCAAGGTCATTCGAGGCAAACAATGGTCAAATCAACCGTTGCCTCCCCAAGGCCTCGATTTGATGAAAGACAATCAGTGCTGGGGCTACGATTGGTACTGTTGGTCAAAAGTTCCTGTTTCGACCTCTTCGATACGTGAGTCGAACTTCAAAAGCAAAAACTCCATGATCCACTATGGATTGCGCAATGAGTGGTCCGAGTGCTCAGCATCTCACATTACTCAGTTGATGTGCATCCATGCGGTATGAACCTCGTTTCAGAACGGAGCTTTACGTTGAACCGACCATTTTCTAATATAAGTGAGACGTTCTTATGCTGACGGATTGGCTTACTACACCACCCTTCGATGTATCTTTACGATTCATCTCTCAGATCCAAATCTATGAATCAGTGTTCTTCAACTTGGATTTGCTGAACTAGCCACAATTCTTCAATCTCAAGTTTATTTTGTCAAGGTTTGTAATGCTGCTGACTGGAAAATAAAAGTGTTAAATATTCCAGCTCAAAAACCAGAGGCTGAACATTCATATCTCTGCATGTATGTTCTATATTTACAGAGTTTTCGTAGCATCAGCATGTCTCACTGTGTACAGTTATCAGTTTCTCGTACTATGGAAAAAGTTTTGTTCAGAATATGCTTAAGATCTTCTGAAAATGATTTGTTTTGTTTGATTGTTTGTTTGTTTCTCTTTTTTTCTTTGAAATATTTAAAAGGTCCAGCCTGTGTTTAACCAGAAGATCCTTTGATTCTTATACACTGGTTGCATTGTAATTTGAGTGTTTCCTCTTGCAATAATCAATTAGGATGTGGATGTAATCATATGGAAATGATATCACAAATGGAAAGCATATACTAACTTTGGTTGTTCAAATATTTTGAAAAAAATATAATAATTAGAAATATAGGAGAATGCAAAATTATAGTTTTTTGATGTTCAAAGAAAATTAATAAATTATTTTGAATACATCCTCTATATGGTATTTTAAATTTTAAAAATTAAATTTTGTATTAGTACTTATTTATATTTTAGTCCTTGATTTTTTTGGTTTTTTAAAATTTTACATCTTAAATTGTATATAATTTTTTTTTAAAATTAAAGTTAAATTATTGATTTTTTACAAGCTATAAAAATTAAACCAGATTTTATTGATAAAAACATAGTGTTATAAGATATGTAAGAAAGACTAATGGATTTTAATTGGTAGAATTATAAAAAATATAGATTTTAATTATTTAATTATAATAATATTAGAATAAAAAAATTGAATTATTTAAATATTTTTTAGAATTCAAAAGTATTTATATGATAGAAGAATCTTATTAGAAAAAAAGCCATTAAAATAGAATCTTAATATATCTTAAACACACTTATCTTAGTTGATTTAGTATTTTTATTTATTGGTAAATATTAATAGTTAATTATTTATATTAATTTCTAAATAGGTCTTCTATTTACATGTATTACTTATAAAAAAACTTGTAAATTATATTTATTAATTAAGAGAAGGATGAAAAAGAATATCATGTCTTTTTAGTTATTTATATTAAAAAATAAGATTTAGAATTTATTTTATTACTATAAAAAATAATCAAGGTATAAAAATGTAGCCTTAAATGAATCTTAGACTTATAAAAATATTATAGAGATTTTAGAATTTATTTAGGAATTTATTTGGGAATTTTTAGAATAAATTTTAAGACTTTGGTAAAATTTAGTTTTACCAACTTATGAGCCATGATGAAGAAATAGAGCAAGATTTGAAGTCCTAATAATATTTTTAGAAAGATTAGGTATTTTTGAACACAATACTAAATTTAAATATGTAAAAATATTAGTTTTACTAATAGAAAATAGGAGGACCTATAGCTAGTCTGGTCCTTGTAAAAAGGGAGATGCATAAGTCTCATATGAATTGTAGCATCTTCATTGTAGTTAGAAAATTAAGACTAAGGCCTTGTGGCCTATATAGGACATTTGTATACACTACTTGTGAACCTTGGTGAGACTCAAACTCTTGACGTTTCAAACTAATTATCTTTAAGATAAAAACTATTCACTTAATTTTTTATTATTTGTATTTTATTTTTATTTATATATTAAACATAATAACTTAGATTTACATGTTTATTATGTCATTGAAAAAACAAAAATTACCTATCTTAAAATATACTTTTACTTTTTATTGGATAAAAATTCAATAAAAAGACTATAACTAGTTTTATAATATGTAATTACTTGATTATACATATTTTACTTAATTTATATTATTTTTTTATTTATTAATTCTTCTATTTTATATCTTTAATTATAATAAACTTTTAATTATAGCTATCTTATAATTTAGAATAAAAAATAAATATTATATTTATAATAATTTTAAATTTTGATTAATAAAAAATGTATTTATGAAATTTTATTTTAATTATAAAATTGTATTTTATTTATAAAAATTTTATTTTATTTATAATTTTTTTTAAAAAAATATCACATTATTATTTTTTAAATATAGTATAAAAAATTAATAATATTTATTATTATCATAAATTACTAAAAGATATTATAACTAATAAAGAAACATAATTTTTATCAAGGTTTTATTGAATATTTTTTTAAAATATTGGAGGTGGACATAAAAATACTTTTGACTTTTTATCCTCAAACTAATGGATAAAAAAAACAAATGAAATAAGTTTTGGATTATTATTTGAGATGTATCACCAACTTCCATCAAGATGATTAGACAATTTTTTTTATTAGAAAAATTTGCATATAATAAAATAGTGAATTCTTCTACTTAAAAAACATATTTTTTTAATAATTATAATTATCATCTATAATTAGATATTTTTTGATATTTCAAAAGTGAATAATCTTGCTCTGTAAGATTTGAAAAATTATTTATTAGAGTTGCATGCAACCATGAAGACATAATTAAAAGAAGATAAAGAACAATAAAAAAAATAAAAAAAGTAAAAAATCAATGCAAATATCTATCACAAGAAACAACTTCAATTCCATATTAGTGGCAAGAAATGGTTACTTTATTATAATATTGATACTAATTGCTCTTGTAATAAGTTGAATTACCATAATCTTTGGCCATTTTCTATTTGTGAATAAATCAATCTAATTGCTTATTGATTAGACCTACCAAAGTTGTATTATAAGTCAATTATATGGTGAAATAAAAAAAAAATATGGATTATATTATAGAAGAGCCTAATTAAAAATCTATAATAAAAATAATAATTAAACAATATGAAGGCAACAAAAACTTTAAATGTTTTTTAAAAAAAAAAAACACTTAATTTAATGGGCCATAAATAAAGAATAATAATGTATGTTAAAAAATAAATGATGGAAGAATTTTCAAAATAAAATTGAGAGTAATTTTTAGTGATAAATTATCTTAAAACCTAAAAATTAATACCAAAAAATGACCAATTTTGAATTAAGATCAAAATCATACTTCAAGGCACAAAGTTGTGCATCTATGGAATTCTAAAGGTTCTTTAGTTGATGAAAGAATAAAGTTTAAAGAGAGACAAAAAAGAAGTTCTTTTGGCATTAGTTTTAATTGATTGGAGTTTGTAATGACTTTGTAAGAGCTTTGCAAAGTTAGAGTTGCCTTGAAATGACATTGATTTTTGAAATGTAAAAAAGATTTATACTTAGGAGCATTTTGTGAGATTTTTAGTAGATCTAAAAGTGAAAATTTATAGGCTTATAATTGAAGTTGTGTTGCATGTATATTATAAGTTTGAGCTTGATTGAATGGATAAATTTAAGATTATTGAAGCTTAAAAGAATTAAGATCTCAAAAATTGGAGGATTCCTAAGGATTTTTAAGATTAACAATAATTTTCTTATTGGATTAAATTATAACTTATTATACTAATATTGTCTTAATTTTTTAAAAATTTTAAAAAATTAGATAGTGGAATCAAAAGATATTGATATTAGAGGAGTGGTATCAAGGTTGGAAAATAAGGTTGGTCAATATCCAAGTAGATTATGATATTTTTTAAAAAAATCACTTTTTTGAACTAAAATTTTGAAATGTTTAAAAAATTCGAATCAATATCAATGTTTAGATTATTAATTATTGAGGTTTTAATATACTATATTTTTTATTAAATATTTGTTTTAAAATAACTTAAAATTTGATTAGAATTGAATTAAGATTTGATTAGTTTTTTTTAAAGATTTTATTAGAATTTATATAGAATTTGTTTAAAATTTCATTAGAATTTGATTGAAATTTGATTAGAATTTAATTAAAATTTTCTTAGATTTAATTAGGATATATTTTGAATATGATTAAATTATTTTAATATTTATTTAATATTTATTTATTCTTTCTATTATTTCTATTTTTAAATATTTATTAATAAAAAAAATTAAAATTTCTTTAAAATTTCTTTAAAATTGATTAAAATTTCTTTAAAATTGATTAAAATTTCTTTAAAATTGATTAAAATTTGATTAGGATTAAATAGGTTTAATTAAGATTTATTTAGGATTATATAAAAATTGTTAAATTCTTTGTTGTTGCAATTTTTAAGCTACCTTTTACAACTAAGTGCTTGATGCATTTTCAAGTAAGACAATATGTTATGCAACATTGGAGTCTAGAAAGATCCATCTTGTGTTCCATGTCTCTTTTCTTTAGCCACATAAGATAGTAGATATACTAAATATAAGATATGAACTACATCCTTCTATAAAAATACATAATAATTAAGAGTTTGAAATCAAAGAAGTCTTAAACTCAAAGCAATATAGAAATGCATTGAAATATCCTATACATTGGTGTAGATATGAAATTAGTGTACATATATAGAAGTTAGCCAAAAATCTTGCAAATATAATTAAATATATATATATATATATATTGATAATATCTATAAAAACTAAGATAAAAATTCAAGCAATTTTTTACTATAAAAGAAACAAAATTCATTAAAAAATTCATTCTATCTTTTATTCTTTTTTGTGATTTTTATGTAGTTATTGCACTAAAAAAATGGATAATTAACAACTAGAAGATTTAATTCAAAAGCTATTATTTCTTTAGTTATTAGACAAGGCATTCAGATTGTCTCAACCTTGAAGATAATTGAATAGAAATAAAGATCTTTGAGAATAATATATTCTTCTTCAAATAAATAGTGAGATATAAAGTATTTGATATCACAACCTTGGCAAAGACTCCAAATGTTTAATGATGTTATTAGAAGTAGAAACTATCTATGTTGGTGTTTCAAATGTTTTATTTGAAAGAAGTTAAGAAAGCCTCAATAATGATCAAATTATAAGGTAGTCTTTTTACTTTGGTATGAGACATTATCAATGGCTAAGAAGATATACTACCTCCCTTCAAAGAGAACAAAGATTAGAGTATATGGCAAATATAATTTGTTGCAACTTTGACTTCTTCATCATGTAATTACCTCAATTTGTAGAATTTGTTTCTAAAAGAGATAATAATGTCACGGATATATATATTTACATAAATTAAAGGAATTAAATGGAAGTAAATAGAAATTAATAAATTTAATAATATCTTATGAAGAAGCTTCTTAAATCTTTATAGACATGGATATAATTTTTTTTACATATTTGTAGGTGATTGATAGGTTGAAAACTTGGCCAATAAGTTGACAATATATTGTACATGTTGGTGACTTTTGGTACAAGTTGGCCATATAGCGCATATAAAAGAAAATTCTCTTGCAAATTAGACATGTTCCTAGGAAGTTAGACACATGTGTCAAAAGTCCTATAGAACATGGTCATGTAAATTCCTAATTAGATAGTATATATGGAAGCAAGAGTGAGGCTTTTCTCACCCTTGTGAACACCTTTCTAATTCTTAGTCTTGTTTCAAAAGTTTCTAGTCTCTATATCTTTGGCAATATTCATTATAGTTTTAAAATCATATTACCTTTGAATAATTATTTACTATTTTTTGTATAAAAGAATATATTTATCCTTAGATTTGTTTTAATTCATGTGCTTGACATTGATGCATTAAATATAAGATATTATACCATAATTAAAATACTAAATTCTAACTATTTTATTTTATTTTATATTATATTTTATTAATCAAATAGTATATTTAAATCCAAATTATGACATATTTTTTGTTACTACTTTATTAATATCAAACATATGATTATTATGTATCTTAAAAGATACTCTTTAATTATGTTACAAAATTTTCCATGTTTGTTTTTAAAATATATATATATATATATTTTACTTATACATTTGTATAATGCTTATATAATCTAATTTATATAGTTTTTTTTTTAAAATCTATAGTTTTTTAATACATATTTATTAAATTTAAATAAAGTTACAAAATTATTTTCTAATTTGGTATTTAAAAATACTTTGCTTCTAGAATTGAAGAAATTATATTGATAATATGTAGGTGCTTATATTAAAAAATAATAATAATAATATTTTTAATAAAATTAATATTTCTAAAAAATCTACGAAAAAATTTAATAAAAATATGTAAGAAAATATAATATTTTTTATTTGAATTTTTATTAATTTTTATCTTATTTTTTATAATAAAAATGCAATAAAATATTTTTTTCTAAATAATATTTGTAATAAGTGTAATTCTAAAAAAAATTTCATATCATTTTAAAATATGAAATTCTTATAGCATCACAAACAATATAATGTCACCTTTAATTAGAACATACAGGTATTTTCTTTTAAAAAACTCAAATTAAATAAAAATATTTAATATTTAAAAAATACCTAAAAGAAGTATTTATTAATATTAAAAATTATTCTAATAATTATTTATTGTATTTAAATAAAAGTAAATATTTTTAAAAATTATCTACATATATTATATATTTTTTGTTTAAAATCATAGAATAAAATTTAATGTTTTTTGAATTTTCCTATTTATATTTTATTACAAGATATATTATTGAAATTTTTATTCAAATATTTTAATTTTTTTTCATATCAAATTTCAAATAATGTATTTAATATGTAAAATAACATTTATTTATAAGTTCAAATAATTTCAGTGAATCTAATACATTATAATTTAATTAGAAATTATACAATAATTACATATGTACTTAAAAATATATCAATTTAATATATTTTTTTAATTTATCTATATTTATCCCTCACTAATAAAATATCTTTTTATTATATTTGTTACACAACTACCATTAGGATTTTTTTTAATTCTATAAATAAAGATATGAAAAGATTGTTATATATTATGTACTACTATTAATCTATATGTTATTGTTGACATTTCATCTTCTTTACTTTCCACTCTATCTTATGTTTTTATATTTTTTTATCAATTTAGATTATATTAAAAAATTAAAAAAATTCTAAAGAAATTAAATTGATGGATAAAAAAGCTTTAGAAAAAAAAACAAAAAAACAAAAAAAAACAAACAAAAAAAACAAACAAAAAAAAATAAACAAACAATAACATAGTGCCAATATAGAATTTATTAAAAGTTATAATTTGGTAGAAAAGAAGGAAGAAAATAGAAAATATTAAATAGATGTACGTAAAGTTGCACAAAATACTTCTAATTATATTATAACTTTAAAATCAATAATTGGTAAAACAAAATACTTTAATAAAATCAAAATCATATTTCTAGCAAAAACACCAATTTCTAATCTAATTATTGTTTTCTTTTTAACAATCTATATTTTTTTTTTAGCTACCATGTGAAAATAATTTACATATTTATCCAATATACAATTTACTATGCAATGTAGTGTGAGTCATGTCAATAGATTTTAGTTGATTACAAAATGTGATTAGATTATTACTTTGGAAGGAGTTAATTTAAAAGAGCTACTATTGACATTGATTTATATTGATAATAACTTATATATATTTAGAAATATATTTTTTTAGATATCGGTGATTTTTAAAATCTTGTTTGATTTCTTTTATTTGGCTTTTAGTACATATATAATGTAAATCTAATGATAATAGAAACTTTCATTTCTATTGACCAAAATTCATTCCAAATGGCTTCAATGAGGCTATTTGAGGCTTTGTTAGAGATTAGGGTTATTTTTTTGAAGTAATTCAAATATTAAAGGCTAAAGTTAGCAAGTTTTGGATTTTGGATAATTAGGAGTGAATCTACAATCAATTTTTTGTGGTAGAGCTAAAAGATATATGCTAAATTTTTAAAAAAATTGAAAAAAATTAAAAATTGGATGAAGAAATATGAAATCCTAAATTTTTGAGAAAAAAAATCATATGCAAATAAATAAGATATTGAAGAGATGTTATAACAATTTGATCATTTTGTGTAAATTGAAGGACTTTTGAGAGCTGAGACTTCATGAAGGTGTATAAAAGGGATTTATGAAAATATAATAAAATTTTGGCACAAAGATAAGTTTTTAAAAGAAGATTATGGATTTTTTATGAAATTATTGAGAATCGAAGTTATTGGGATTTGGTTAGTTATATACAAGGATAACAAAGGCTATTAATGGACTTAAAGATTCAATGGAAAGACTTCTAGACAAACTTACTTAAATATAAAATATTCATGTTTGTACATTTTCTTTTATCATTATTATGTTTATTTATTTATTTTACGTTTATGTTTATGTTTTTTTCCTTTATACTAAGGACAAATAATTTATTGGAACTTAGCCAATAAGTTCAAGGTAAATTCTCTACAACTGAGTATCCAAAATTAGATTAAAAACAATGTTAATTTTCTTTAAGAAGTTGTTTCCACATGATAGCTTTCTTGTTTGAAGCCCACAACTGTTGGAGTATTCTAAACCATACTTTCAAATTTCCATGCGTGGCTTTCGAAGTGGTCCACTCCAATTCCAATGCGTAGGATGAATGGTGAGAGTTTTCATCCATCCGACATGTCAGTGTGAGTGAGTGCGTATGTCTGCCGTGGTGAAATGAGTTTGCATCGTTGCCAAGCTCTCTTACACCTTCATGTAGTCGTCGTCGTCAAGTAGTCGTCGAGGGTGACGAAGGGTGAGGGTGACGTCAAGGGTCACCTTCATCATAGTCGTCGTCTTCGTCACCCTCGGCGAACTCTTCCACTCTGCCGCAGTGAGGCTTCGGAACGGAGGGGTCTGTTGCTGCGATGAAGATGGAGGGAGGGGCTGAATCCAATGCGGAGGAAACCGCCCTGATTCTCATTCCCAAAGGGAAGCACTGCTCTTGAATTTCCTTCACTCAAGCAGTGTCTTTTTTTTTTTTTTTTTTTTTTTTGGTCCTGCCGTGACTACGTCGTCGAATGGCCGGGGTGGTATGTCCGGTGTGGTCTTCGACTTCGCTTTGGCGCACTGTCGTTCTGGAAAATGTCAGTTCAAGGAGTTCAGCAGGTGTGTGTGAGAGAGAGAGAGATTGTGGTGATGATCATCTGCTTATTGGATTTACGATGATGGGTTTTCCTATGCTTGCCTTTCTGCTTTTGATTGAAGAGTTTGGAGGTGTGGGTTCTGGGGCAGGCGTTGTAGGTGTGTCGGCTGGTGGATGGGTAAATCGCAGAAGGGGAAGCTGCCGACCTTTGGTTTACACAGCGTCTTCGTCGCGGCACTTAGTTACGTGCCATGCTTCAGATAAAAGTACGTCGAAACCAAGCGCTTGTAGAATTGAGGGTTTAGCGTTAAGGGTTTTTGTTGAAGGAATTGTTGAAGTTATTCAATGTGGTTTGGAATGTTGATGCTTATGTAGGAGGTGAACGCTGCTCTCACTTTGTCCGTGTTTTTGTAACGTGTTGAGCAACAGATAGAAAATTCCAGCTCCCGCCGACGGAGCTTATGACAGAGCTTCTGAAATCTAGCAACCCACGAGCAACAGCTTCCAAGTTTTCGGATTCTCTCACCGAAGAGTTCTTTCGGGCGGCTTCAACTTACCTTGAAACGGTACTGTGTCTTTATGAATGTGGGTGTCGTCGGTCGACGGTCACGATGCCAAAAGTTTATGCTCTTTTTATTGGTCCTCTGTAAGTGTTCCAAGGATTCCAGTTAGTGTGTTGTTGTTTATCAGCAAACAATTCTGCTTTTAAGTAACGTAATGCTTAGAAGGTAGATTGTTGTATTGACGAGCTCTGAATGTGCTCCTGTAAAGGCCAAGAAATCAGGCAATGCGGGCGTTGTGGAAAAAATGGAACGTGTGTTAGAGATAGCCATGTATGAGAGGGGCAAAACGCTCAGGCCAGAAGTGCTACTCATGAATTCGGTACTTTTTGTGAAACTTAATATGTAACACAATCTGTATCTCATTTTCTGTATTATATTTCCATATAGTTTGTGTTAACCATTTGTCTTTCTTTCTGCATTACATTTTAGTCAATTACCGAAAAACGTAGGCTGATTTCAAAGAGCGGTGGATGTTGCAGTTAATGACCGAAAGGGACATGAATAAACGGTTCGAACTTATCGCCAGCCATCGGAAGTACATTATGGATCCCGACAGTTACTTCTTTGCATTAATGGAGCGGATGACTACGGATGCAGAGGGACTTCCAGATGGGTCCCGGAAAGAGCAGCTTCTGGGACACATTCGAACTGTGATCAACGAAACCAAAGAGGCTGGCAAGGTACTGAGGAAAGTAGCAGCGGAGGAAGCAGATAATGACGATGACAGTGACGATGATTAGAATTTTGAAGATAGCTCACAGAAGTCCGAAACTCCTATCTTGCTTGCAGAGTATGGTGAGATGGTATCTGGCTGCGAAGCTCCAGATGCCACCGTCTCTTCTGTGAACCCGTAGCCTTCGAGAGGATAGTTTCGTCCCTTCGTAGTTCATGACATTCAAGGTTACATCTAGCGGACCGAACAGGTAATGCCCCAAATTCACCCTCCAATACAGCACTTGTATAAACGATGTTTAGACTGCTGTGTACTTGAAGTTGAGCATGCTTGAGGTGAAGAGGAGGCTTGCGGAAAAGAAAAGTTGATTCCTTTTTGGCTTCATGGTTCAGAACTTGCTTGGAAACTAGATGTGTTCTTTTCAAGCTAGTCCAGGAGATGTGCTGAACCTTGCTCTTGGTGCGTATGAGAATTATTAATGGTTCATCAAGATATATTCTAAGCTTTCTAAATTATGCCTTAGTCTTTGTGGAAAGGTTTTGAGATTAGCCGTAACTTCTGTGTCAATTAGATGAAGAAATTTAAGACTTGATGAGGTTCATCTTGGCCTTGTTTTGAATGTTAAGTGATCTGTAGATGTACCATTTTCTACTCCAGCATAATGACAGCGGAAGATTATAACAAAAAAATTCATCGCTCAAATCTTAGTCTGTAAATATACGCACAAATTTTCTGTTCGAAAAATCATCCACATCTGTTGAAAAGGAATTTGTTGTTGGGGCTCATACGATTAAGGTTTTGTGCCTTCAGTGCTCGTCAACTAATTATGATGTCCTAGGGCAACTAATGTGGATGATTTTGATCTACTGATAACGGCTTCACACGCGCATTGCAGTCAAAGCTTCACATAGAAAACCCACAAACAAGGCAGGTCGTGGAGGCGTTTTCAAGTGTCCTCCAAATATACGCACAAAATTTCTCTGTGTACATTGCATGTCTACAAAAACAACAAATGCGCACCATTTCTGTTCAAAAAAAGAAAAATGTAATCAGGCTGAAATGGGGGAGTTGATTTGCAGGCTAGGCTCTATCACTCCACTAAGCGCTACAGCTAGACAATTGCAGCATCATAGAGTTGCGGACTCTCCCCTACAACACATCGTTAAGTTTGTAGTCGAATATTTATGACCGTCGCTTTAATACATTATTTTTTTTTATTTTTTTGAAAAAAAATAAGAGTTTTTTGTACTTCGTGGCCTCATTACCATTATCCATGCCCATATTTGGACGTAAGAATATGGTTCGACGTGTAAGGTGACCTCTCCAAGTTTCAGGACAAAACACTACAATTGATCAAGCTCTATGGAAATTTCATATACCCAACCCTCATGTACACCCCTGGCCAGCGAATTCTTCGTTCTTGGAACCTCACAAATATCCATCTTCAATCTTCAAACGTCCGAATTAACTGATATATCTTTATTATCATGCATTATGTTTTCTTAAAATATTGATTTTTTTAAAGATAAATTTTAATAAAGATACTATATTAAATATATATATATATATATATATATTTATATATATATATTAAAATGTATTATCAAATATATCAAATGATTTAATTTAATATTTTATTATTTATAAAAACTTAAGATTCAACATTATTAATCATAGATTCTAAATATTTAATTATTATGAATATGATTACTATAATTTTTAAAATAAATGAAATAAAAAAATTATTTTAAAACTCAATGATATAGTAATAATTTTAAAGTCTAATATCTTGACCTATATATATATATATATATATATATATATATATACACACACAATTAAATATTTAATTATAAAATTAATTTTTTGTATTTTTTTTATTTTGTATTAACATCATAAAATTTTACACTAAATATACTTGGATTTTAAAATAAAATCAATAAGCATTTTCATGTAAAAAGGGTTGGAAGTTAGAAGTGCTTGTTAGCAATCTAGCATATAAAAAAACATATTATTTTTGTAATGATTGTAACAACCTTCCTATTTGATATTGGTTTTACTTGGCTATTAACAACAAAATTAGAAACCAACTACAACATTAACAACTTCTAAAAGACAAAAATAGAAATTCAAAAAAATCTAAACTTAAAGATGCAAGAATAACTAACTATATAAGAAACTTAACAATAAAAGATAAAAAAAAAAAAAAAAAAAAAAAAAAAAAAATGCATACTATAAAAAATGGTACTAAGAAGGAATTAAAGAAAATATTCTTTGAAGGTTTTATAGTAGTGATCGATTGTCTATAACAATACATTTTAAAAAACAAGTATTTTTTATGTAAAGATTTGAATTTAAAAAAATATATATTACTTAAATATAAATAAGAAATACATAAAAACTAAAAATATATGTTAACTCATGTGCATTCTAACAAGGATTAATCATTACTTATTAGACTTCACATGCATACAATAACTATTACGAAGAGTGACACAATTCTAAAGGGCAACAATCAACTCTTCTTTGTTCTTTGTCTTAAAGAAATAAGAGATTAGTAAAATAAAAATAAAATAAAAAATAATATATTGACAATGAACACACTTTTAATTATGAAAAATTTACAATTTTTTTACTATATAAATAGTAATAAAATTGGGAATAGTAAAAAAAATTGTAATGCAAAAAAAATAATATAGTATCTTCTTTTATTGGGAATTAAAATAATATCTTTAAAAAAGATTAATTATGTTTCTATGATCAAAATAGTGGATAAAGGTATGGTATCTTATTGTTACAAAATTATAAACTTTGTATTAAAAATATTAAGATTAAAAAAAATAAAATAATAAAATAATCTTTTGCCAAAAGTTAGATGTAATATGTTAGATGAGGCTTTGAATTATGTTTTTAACTAGAACAATACTTGGATATAAGAAATATGCATATCATAAATCATTTTTAAGAACATCTTGTATGATCAAATAGAAGTAGTTTATATTTATACCTCTATCAAATATCAAGAAATATGCCAATCATAGACTAATTTGACAATTGTGACATCATACTATCTAAATTAGATTTTTTAGGTAATTAAAATATTAAAAAATATTAGATATTAATATTTTATCAGAATAGAATTTTAGCTTATGACAAAGAAAACACATAGATACTTTTTTAAAGTTCAATTACAATTGGAGGATTTTTTTTCATAGCTAGCAAGAATTTAATTTTTTTTCATAGTATCCTTTTATATATATATATATATATATATATAATTCTTAAATTACATTGGAATTATTTTAAATTACTTTATACTTTCAATTTAAGAAATAGACAAAAAGAGTCCTAAGAAATTTATTATATTATAAGATAATGTCCAAGCTTATTTAAATTAATTGATTCATAGTAATATTTGGAAATTATTGTGTTGCCTATAAATTCCTGATTTTATTAATTTCACTAATCTGATTAAAAACTATTGATCCTACCAAAGAAATAGAGGTCTAATAAGTCAAATGGATTGTTAGTTCATAACATCTTATATACTTCAATATATAAAAATTACATACAACTTATAATAGATTTTTAAAGAGGAATCATCACTTTTTTCTTAGAAACTTAATCATCAAATCCAAAACAAAACAAAACAAAACTATACACACAAATAGTCTATATAGAACTTAAGAAATCTTTGATAAATAAACCTATTTTTTACAAAGTATGAGGAAACCAAAGATTAAACCAAACTTATTCAATAAGATTAAAATCTTTGGAAGTACTCTCACTTTGTTTATATAAGTTGTTGACAGAACTTGACATAAATTGGTCTTTTATCCCCCAACATTAAAAATTGGATAAGATTATGTAAACAAAATAATAACTATACATCCTCATTTAACTTTTAACTTCAATACCAACATATTCAATATATGTGAATAATTGTATTTTGTTATACTCAGGTCTACAAAAAACAACATACAAAATAGGTACTTAATTTAGAATATTACATCATGATCTTTTTCTATCTAAATAAATACAAATATATTTATTCAAATAAATATATCTTAAAAAAAGATATTATGAAGAAATTAAAGTTGTAAATTATAAAGTTGAGATGATAATAGTCTCATAAGGCACTAGATAAATTATAACAAAACCTTAAGATATACTATTAGAATTTTGGATGTGACTTGATGATATACACAACAAAATTGGATAAGTAGTTGATTGGCTCAAACTTTTGGAAGCAATATATAAGAGACTAAAAATGACAATCTCTTCAAAATTACTTCATGACAATATGAATGAATATTGTGGAATTTTTTGAGAAGTACCTTACAACAAAATAAAATAACAACCATACAATTCACAACATTGTCCTGACAATGAGACAAACCATGAATATCCAAAAGCATGATAAGATGCATATTGTTGCAAATTAGTATATAATAGATTAATTGAGGATTTGATGATAGTTTTAGAGTGTTATGTGTAATTGAAGTAGCTCTTATTAGAAAGAAAATAAGAATTAAAGAAACAATATTCTTACTAATCTAAACTAATCTAAAGCATCAAGTTAACTCTTAGTCAATAAAAAAAAAAACAAAAAAAAACAAAACAATAGTATGAACTTAAGATTAGAAAACAAATTTTCAAAACAAGAGGATAATAATTGGTAATTATACAATTTCTACACACAATTTGTAAAAAAAAAAATTCAAGCTCCAAAAGAGAAAATGTCTCTGTATAAAAGCATACAAATAAATAGAAAATTACATAAAGATCACAAGAAATATATCTAAAATGAAAATACAAGAATTGGAGATCACAAAGATACAACACAACAACCCTATCCCTAAACCTAGAAACGCTGCAGTTCAAGGCTACCTGTTCAAGGCTGTTGTTGCGTCTTTGAGTTGCCAGAGGTACCACGATGCAAGAGATCGATATGGTCGCCAGGAATCGGCGAGCTTGTGCATCTCCTCGGCGCATGGCAAGTGCTTGAGGTGGAACAGTTTCTGGAAGCCTTTACGGATGCCCAAGTCGCCAACAGGAAGCACATCTGGTCGATGCAAGTGAAAGATCATGAACATGTGCGCGGACCAGACCCCGATGCCCTTGACAGCGGTCAATGCTGTCACCAGATCGTCCTCGTCCTCCATCGCCATGAGCTTCTCATCCGATAGTGCTCCTGACACCAACTTGTCTGCTAGGTCATGGAGATACACTTCCTTCCGACCTGAGATCCCTGCTCCTCGTAGTTCTCCTGCTGTCAGGGCAGCGATGGCCGCAGGCGTCACTTTCTGTGGGCCCTGTCCATTCACCGAAGCCAAATCGCTTTCAGCGTTGCGTAGAGTCCAGAAACAAAAAACGATTTTAGGTGGCGGGAACAGAACCTTGGCAGAAGAATTAGAATGAAGTTTGTAATGAGTTAGGGCTGTGAAAAATGCATTGGAGGAGACGATCGTGAGAAGCCAGACGAGTTGAATGAAACAGAGGGAAGCGGGAAAATGTGGGGAAAGATCTTACCCCGCATAGTGCAACGAGGCGTGCGTGGATTGTAGCGGCAGCCTTCACGGCAAGCTGCTGGCTCACAATGCTTCGAACCAAAGCAGCGAAGCTGTTGCCATCATTTTCAAACGGTGGGCTATTCGATTTCTGAATGACGCACGCGAGGTTTGCATCGGCTGCGAGCAAGTGCTTCGTTGCTTCTGCTATGGCGTCCGCTGATGATAGCGTAACCGTCCACGAACGATCCGAAATTGTGACAGTGAGGTCGTCTATTTTGGTTGGACTCGTACTAGCCCCCAGTTTTACCTCTGTTTTAGAAACGATTCTCGTGGTGATGCTCGTCTTGTGCTTCTTCTCCAGCTCCGCCACAGCTCCCGCACCAGTGTTTCCCTTCTTCGCCCCCGTCTTCACCTTCAACGTAATCTTCGAGACCGGCAGGGCTTTCGAAGTGTGCGATCGCAACACCCGCCCCACTCCACCACTGCTCAGAGGTCCTGATGTCCTCATGGCCTCCAAACCTGTTGTAGAGACTGATCATCCAAAGATAAAATTCAGACAATTGTGGTGGATGGCATCACAACCTCAAAAACCGATCGACATTGAAGGGATCAAAGAATCTGAGGAAGTTTCGTGAATACCCTTGGTCCATCTTCTGTGTCTAGCTTCACGGTGAAGTTTCAACATAACAAAAAGATATTACCAACTTCAACTTCCATGAATTAGATTTACCCTCAGGCGACCTGGTAATTCGCATCTGATTGCAAAATTTCGTACTATCCCTAATTTTATTTCTTCAAAACTCTTTCGTACCTCTGAACATTTACACAGAACGCGGCTACACGATGGGCCGGTATTTCATTCAAGACTCTGGACACGTAAATTACTCCTACCGACAAAACTTTACACAAGGATGTGTGTATCAAGGGTTTCAAATCACTTCACACCAAATGCTTAGAAAATGTGTACGTTGATCGTGCATTTCCAACTGTTGACACATGACCTAAAAGATTGATGCTGGAAGAACATGCAACTCCAGTCTGGGTCATAGACTACACAGAGCTTGTGAGCACGTTGATAGGCGAGTATACTAATTGACCATCAGATTGACATACAAACAACTGAAAATGCGAGATTTCGCGTTGGAATTCAAATCCAACAGGGCAAATCATAATAACGAATGAGAAGGGACTATTTTGAAAGTGCTTAAGATCTCATCGCCTGTACAATGCAGTCTTTATTTCTGTATTGAGCCCCCATTTCTATGGCTTCGTCGATAAGAGTAGGCCATCCAAAGAAACAATTTGTCAGAACTGAATTCAATCATAACGTATCAACGTTTCAGACAACTCCTGGGAAAATCGTAACCTCCAGCAATTTTGACTGACAAATGAAACAATACGCTTGGAGACCTCAAGTAACTAGTTTTTTCTTTAACTACTTCTTGGCTTGCGGCTGCTTGAGACTGATTTCTTCGACACCCATGTCTTGCAAGTTCAGAAGCAACGAATCGGCACTCAAAAACACGCGATTCTGGGAGGTAGAAATTGTATTCGCAATTTCTCTGCTAGCTTCTATCTTTCTCAAGGTAATGAAAGCTGGATTGTTTGAAATGGCTTCACCGATGAGTTGAGCACTCTTGGCCTCTCCCTGGAGTACACAAAAAAAGGAAATTTCACTATCCGACCAAACTTGGCAATGGTCTTCCTTGCGGAATGAACACCAACATCCACAGCCTCTTACAAACCCCTTCCCAAACTGTAAATAGCTGAAAGAAATCAAGCAAGAGTCAAGATAAAGCACCTGAGCACGAATAATTGCACTCCTTTTGTCCTGCTCTGCCTTCTCCACCACAAATTTAGCCCTCTCAGCGTCCTGGGCAGCAACTTGCTTAGCTTCAATTGCAGCTGTGAACTCCCTCCCGAAAGTAAGGTTGGTGATTGACACGTCATCCAAAGCAATGTTAAAGCTCGTAGCACGCTCCTGCAAGATTCTCCGGATCTCTCTACTGACGACCTGTCGAAACCCATTACAAATCAGTCAATCGTCATCCGAATGTAGTCGCGAAACCAAACTACTGGCCGGGCTACAGCAAAAACTATAACTAAAATTTCTGAAGCACTATGATAAAGCTCACAACCCTCACTAACCAAAAATCGAGAACATTGGACGACCAAAGGAATTCCCAAAGGAGATAATAAGGGGCAATTCAAATCTTAGCTCACGCCCATGCATCTCCAAGGTCATTCTTGGTAGCATTCCAATACACACTTAATAACAATAATGATGGTCATCATCATCATCAGAATAATAATAATAATAATAATAATAATAATCCACAGCATCTTACCTCACGCTGCGTAATGAGCTGGCTGGCGTTGTATTGAGCGACAACCGCCTTCAAGGTTTCCTGGACAATAGAAGGCAAAACACGTTCTGCATAGTCTTGGCCTAGTGTGCGATAGATCGTTGGCAATCGGTCCGCCATAGGACGCGTCAGCACTCGCAACGTGATCCTGACCTGTAAACAACGAAGAAGCAGATTAACTTTATTAGAATAACTCCAAGAACAACTACAACACCTGCGGCAAGATCCCTACCAGCGAAATTCTAAAGGAATTGAAGAACTGCTTAAATGAATTCCGTCACACTCAAACGTAATCACCCAGAGGACTAAATTACCACTCAGCCTCAACCACATGTCAAAAGGCAGCTTACCATTTGAAGATCCCTACTTCCTGATGTGCTTTCGACAATGTTGGGTCGTGCACGGACATCGTATATCACAGGTCTGTCAAACCAGGGAATCATAAAATGCGTTCCCTCAGGATACACCTGCAACCGATCACCGAAACCCGGCACGATTATAAAAACCCCAACCGGACTCAACCCAAACCTTACAAAACCAAACTTAACAATCAATCCAATTGAAAGAACAAAACAACTAACCCACTTCAATTCACCCTCCCGCACCTTGTCCTTAACACCAACAATACGATTGAACACAATTGCTCGGTGGCCACCTTCCACGTTGTACAAGGAGTTCACGGCACCATACAAGCCGAGGCCGCCGATCACCACGAGCTTGGCCAAAGCGCCAGCAGGCCCCGCGTTCGGCATTTTCACGTTACGCATGTTGTTGAGATTCATGGCTGCCAATCAGTTCTACCCCTAGCGTCACAACCTTCTCACGACAACCGACACTTTCCTACGATCGCGAGGTAACAAATCAAGCTCTCAAGGGGGGGATGGGGCAACAACAAGGTGGAGAAAAACAGACAACCGGGCTCTGTTAGGGCTCGGAGAAAACCAAGCTTAAACCCTAACAAAAACCTCGACGCTGTGCTCCAATGTAAACAGAAACCAGACAATCGGATGAGCATGCCTTCCCTTGCTGTGTGTGCAAACTGCCACTTGTATTTACTATTCGTAAATAGCTCGCCTTGTGGATGAATGAAATATGCACCTCGTTTGAATGGATGGTGAATTTGGATGGAATTTATTCCTTTTTGGGAGACTACGAGCCAGTTCCTTAAGTAGCCTGTTGTTGTTCGTTGTTGTTGTTCTCTGTTGTTGCGTTGAAAACTCCTACTCTTGGAATCTGAAGTGACCAACAAACACGCTAACTAACTTGGTCTAACTTGGCTGACTGGGGTTGCATCACAAGGTGTCACACTGAAGAAAAACAGGGAAACAATCAGACAATATGTATTTTTTCTTAACAGAAGGGACAAGTTGTGCATGGTCTATGAGTTTTACTTAGCTTTTTGAGGAGGTATGAAAATTAGAGAACACTCTAGATTCTCCCATAATGACTGAGTTATACATGCTCTAAAACACACGTGAACCCACATGGGAAATAAAAAGGAGCGCTGTGGGTTTTAATTGAAGATTAGGTTTTGCTCCAAAGTTTGCTCTTGTAGTGGGTTATTAAATCTTCATACGCTAGCTCTCTGGTTTTCTTTAATTTTTACTGTGGGACTACATCATTTGTGTCAAAGCAAAACAGAGAATAGAGTACTCCTGTTCAAGAATTTGCTGATTGATTTGATTGCGTATAATCCAATTATAAAACAGATAGCAATACATTGGAATTTGTTTTTGTAAAATCATTGTAAAGATTGATTTGTGATTTAAATACGATGGCATTCTGGTTTAAAACATCTCTGTACACATAGAGACCTATCAATAAAATAATTTCACTTTGTACTGTGCTCCACAATTACTTTCATTGCATGCAGGATATTATTCATAATTGTATCTCAATTAAAAGTTTGCAAGGATAAAAACTGACAATGCAAGGCTAACCGTTTTGGGAGAGAAAGTAAATAAATAAATACAAACAATGAGAGAAACAACAGGGACACAGCATTGTAATCCTTTTCAGCTTTCAACAAATGTGTTGTACCAACACAAATAGCCACATCAGTCGATTCAGCCTCCAATCAATTCAGTATGGACACTCCATTGCTACAACGGTGAATGATAGCTTACCAAAATTGTAGACAGAAGCAAATAACAAGTGAAATAAAAATGTACTTTTCATGATTCGTGTTTGAATGTACTACATAATTATTTCGTTAACTGGAACGATTTGAATTTAGCTTGAGAGCTTGGAAACTACGATAGGACTTATTGCCAACACAATACCAAAGTTGAGGTTCAACCCATCCGCCCCTACAATCACAAATTTATCAAGAGACTCTGTTCAGCCACCTTTGCAAGTTTCAATACCGATAACTTTAACCTTGCATGCAACACCTTCACTAACTCTTCTGCCCTCCTTTTAACCACACATGGCAAATGCTGAATGGAGTCATTCCAGCTGAATGCCGCATGCTGGTATTTTTCTATCAGAGTCCCCACTGTACTCCTGTATACAGTGCTGTTTGCTGTTGGTCTATGGGCGTTGAAAGAATGCAAAAATGTGAAGCCTGGAATAGTAATAGAGAATCTGGATACGAATCCTTCAAGGAAAGTCCAACAGGGCTCTAGATACAATTCAAAATGCAACAGCCGTTGATATTCTTACGAAAGAGATGGGCCAAAAACCTTTCATGTTGTGATAAGTAGATTCTTGGCTCAAACAGCACAGGTCAGCAGATAGTGACCATTGATCAGGTTCAAAATGTGACGTTAGAAGAAGAAAAAGAAAAAAGAAGATTAAACCACGCGATAAAGGCATGGTTGAAGACGGCAGCGAAGGTCAACACATCACAAGAATTCAAGAAACCAGATGCATTCGACAAGATTATTTACTTGATGAAAACACTAGTTTTTACTCATCAAAACTAGTAACAGAGCCCATCACCAGAATGTAGAATCCCACGGTGAGAGATTTATAATAACCTACTCATCGTCTTCCTCTTCATCGTCATCACCGCCTGAGGCCTTCTTCGACGCAGCCTTCATGTTCTTTCGCTTCACTCTTCCAGGTCTGCCACCTCCAAGTGGGCTAGAGAGGGCAAAATCTACGTGTTTCTGGCTGTCCAAGCGGACCATGAAAGAAGGCACGTCCACTATCTGCTTGCCAACTCTGTTACATATACAAATAGAAATTAGTACAAGAGAGGAAAAAAGGAGGCATAAATCGTGATTTGCAACTAAAAAATTGAACACATCAGATCTGAAACAGGAATGCAGATTCTACAAAACAGATAAGGCTTATAAAAAGAAAGGAAGAGAATACCAATTGTAATTCAAATTAAGGCAGGAGACAAAATATCGTTCATTTCCAAGTTCTAACTTTCAACCAGCTGATTGAAGAAAATTGAGAAGCCCTGATTTGAATTACAGGAACAGGATTCACATGTCTAGATAATGTGGAAGATTGCTGCCGCAATATCATACTGACCTGATGTGTCTTTGCTTGATTAGCACACGGGCATGGTGGATGGACTTGGCCATACCAGACTTGAACACCAAAGTCTGCAGGCGACGCTCCAAGAAGTTCTCAACGGTGAGGGCAAGCACGTAATCGAGCTTGCATTGACTCTCGTCCAACAAACCATATCGGTTCATGCGTCGCAGAAGGGCCTCTCCCTCAAAAATACGACGAGTATTTTTCTCATCGAGAGTAAGCAACATACGTGCATTGTTGCGGATACGGCTCAAAGCGTACTGAACCCTCCACAGCTCACGCTTGTTGCGGAGACCATACTCCCCCACGAGCTTCAGCTCAGCGTCAAGACGCTCCTTCTCGAACGGCCTGCGCGGCTTCTTGAAGGTCTTTCCATCTGCGAAAACGAGATATTAAACAATTCGCAAGAGTAGATGTTCATAAATGTAAACCCCGCAACATAACTAACCGTCTCTACTCTAAAATAACGAAACGAATAAAATCATCACAGGAATTGTAATCCCCACAGCCAAACCCTCACAAAGAAAATCCTAATATGTGTCCCGGAATCCATTGAAATCATGCTCCATTCCGAGATCGAATGCATGAAAAAAGACATTAAAAAAACAGCGTAAAAATTAAAGTGTAGTGATTTAACAGAAGAGACTAACAGTTCCGGAAGCTGGCGACGTGCACCATGTTGAGAAAAAGCTTGCAAAGCTGCTTCCAAGAGCTCGAGCTTGAAAGAGAACGGGGTCCATCTCCGAGAGTAATCTTCACAGGACGATCCCAAGCCCTAAAAAGTTTCGAAATACTCTCGTTCGTCCGATCGATCAGTAATCGAACGGGGGTCATTGTCTCTCACCGCTGAAGCCAATTGAATTACTATCACAACTATTTTACTCTGTTTAAGCGATAGTAATACTTTCTCCTTATTATTTATTTATTTATGGTAAAAGCTCCATCTCTGAATTTCATTGCATGGATCTTTCAATCTAAACGAATCCCAGTGTTAATTCTTAACATGAAATGGTGTGAATTTGGTTCCTAAAAAATATAATTATAATTATAGTGATGATAGTATCAGAACAAGAATGAATCAAGACACTTCATCCTCTTTTTCTTTTTTCAGAAACTACTTTGTTTCATTTTATTATTATTAAAAACAATAGTTTAATATTGTTCTTAGATGTATAATATTTGAAAAATCTAGTTCATTTCTACTTCTTGAATAACTTTTGTGTAATATTATCAAATTAAATTCTATGATTCATTTTTTAAAATATGTACATGCAATAAGAAAAAATGTCGGTTTCTGAAAACTAAAGATTAAATAAATGTAAAATGAATGAATAGGAAAGAAGTAACATTACATTGTAGCATTTTATTTTAATTATCAAAGTTATATTACAAAAAAAATAAAAAAATAAAAAAGTATAAAGTATAAAGTTTTGGAGTTTACTATTTATTTATAATCATTTAATCAGGAACTGCTTTCAAAAAGTATGATGTGCATTGATGATGAGGGAGTTCCTACAATTAAACCAAAAAATACTCTTCTTATGTGTTATGTAGAGTTAGATAAATATATGGGTTGGTTTTAACTGCTTTCTTTCAATGCAATCCTGAAATTTGCTTACTGCATAATTATTACCGAAATATTATATTCTGTGAGAAGAAAATGTAATTTGAATATTCCTTCAAAACACCAAGAACTACTGTAAACAGCCAAAGAAATCACACACAGTGAGTAACGTTGTTGAAAAAGGGCTTTTGACAAACTTTAAAAAGTTCTATCAAACGTGTCAATCTCAAACCTAACTTAAAAATTTAATAAACAAATGAAAATAGTTGTAATTGTCTTGATTTTATCTTTTTTGAAAACTCTCCAATTTTGATAGATATGTATATCATCATATATTTCACCGTAAATAACCCAACTTCATGTTTCGCAAGGAGATGTGTGCATCATATTCTATAAGCCAAAATCAGTAGTTTCAAAATTGTAATGCATCAACAATAACATATGGACTATTTACACGACTTTTAAGCTCTTGCATTTATATGATAAAAAATGATGTCTCACAGTGTGTCAAATGTGTACCATAACATCAAAAGATATCAAATATTGAGAAATCACCATTTCATGTGATTTTAATTAAATTTCAAACTGTGTTCCAAATATTCAAATGTATAGTATTTACTTCTCCATAATTGTATAAACCTTTAGACCAGAAGTGAACTTTCTGCCAAGTTTCAAATTACATATAATTTTACTCATCTTTAGTAGATTTTATAAATATAGGTTTCATCAATCAATTCATGATTCATAATCTATATTTACAAATCCGTTTTTCTTTATTTAAAAAATTTGAAATATGCACATTAATACTATTATGAATGAAAACTTCAAATTCTGTAAAAGGCAACTTGATTTTTATGTGGAAGATCAACAGAGTACCAAAATGTTTTGAAAAAGTAACGAAGAAGATAAGGATCTGGATGCATATGCTTTTTCAATTGTAATACATTTAAGCGAAGACACTTCCTCCAATAAAATTTTAGTTATTAGTTGCAGTTTGTATAATAGAAAGTCAAATTTAATAACTAAAATTTTAGTTATTAGTTGTAGTTTGTGTAATAGAAAGTTTGAAATTGATGAAGAATTTGATGAAATGTTTAAAAAACACTACTAGCCAGTTGATAACAATTTCCATGAAGACTTCTTTGATTTTGATGATACAAAAGAACTTGCAGGTGTTTATAATGCAATCAACAATTCTCGCTTCATATTCATTCAAAATCTTATATCTAAGTTGTACAATTGGATTTTGAATTATTAAATGAATGAATATAATGCTAATTTAAGTCAAGTAGGAAGAACATTATAGAAAGGCTTTTAGACACTACTTTTAGCCATCAAAGATCATTCCATATTTAAAAGCAACAACCATTGTTGTCAAGGACATACATATTTATCTAAATAAGAAGTGTAAGGTAGAAGGTAAATATATGTAGATTTGATATTATCTTATGGCGAAGCTTCTTAGAAACTTCATAGACATGTATTTGACATTTTTATATATTCATAGTTGATTGGTAGATTAGAAACTTGGCAAACAAATTAGCCATATATTACATATGTGGATAGTTGTGATACAAGCTAATGATATGGTACACATATAGAAAACTTGTCTTGCAAGTTATGATACATGACTCATTAATTAAACATGTGTTAGAGATTCTATAGAATATCATTAAATACTTCCTATTTAAATAGTATATATAGAGGCAAGAGTGAAGCCTTCTTTACTCTTATCAATGCCTTTCTAGTCCTTAGTCTTGTTTTAAGACTTTTTAGCTTTTTTTTATCTTTGGCGATAGCCATTTTAATTTAATATTATACCATCTTTGAATGATTTTTCAATATTTTTGAGTGAGAGAAGAGTATATTGATTGTTTATTTTTTTGAGATTTATGTCTTTGATAATTTAACAAAACTGTTGATTCATTATCCTTATCTTATTTTTAGAAGTGAATGGATTACCTTCTATTGTTGTATTTTGAAGGTTACAAATTATCCACCTAAAAATTAACATTTAGTTTTCTTTAAAGAAAGAAGATTACATCCTCTTTGTTGAAATTTTCATTTGGTGTTAAAAGTTATAAATTATCCTTCTCTAATTTGACTTATAGATTTTTTTTGAATTATCTATAGTAAAAAAATAAAATATAGATGCTATTCTTGATAGAAGTGAAAATGAATTTACAACTATTACAAATCTTTATGAGCTTGTTAATGCTCTTAGGGTAGAAATTTCACATATTTCCAACATGAATCATGAAGGTATTATTTCTACATTCATTAAAGAAGTTAATAATGAAATTTAAAGGCTACACCAAAAAAATTTGCAATTGAGAGAAACAAATAGATTAAGTTTACAATAAAATTTGACAAGCCTTATTATTACAAGTAAAAGAGATGAAAAGATAAGTATGTTGGAGAAGATTGACAAAACTAGATCAAAGTTTTGAGGATTTCTACAATAAGTGAAGTTCTATCCAGGGCTGCATACTTTCCAATATCATGATGGATTTACTCAAGTTGGAATCATAAATACGCTTTTATTTTAATATATATATATATATATATATATTATTTGTATCTTTGATAAAAAATTATTCATAACTAATTTATAATTTTATTTTATTTTTAGAAGTATTTATGTCTACATTTGGAGAAAATGATAAAAAAAAAAGGTCGTTAAGCTCAAACTAGTATTTTTACGAGAAGGATCATATTTAGCCACTATATGTGCTACTAAATTCCAAATCCTTGCCAACGATGTGGATTGGAATGACAAAGCCTTTATCAATCAATTTTGATATGGATTAAAAGATAATATCAAGGGTTTATTATTGACAAGTAGCCTTTTTATCTTTGGCAATAGCCATTTTAGTTTAATATTATAACATCTTTAAGTGGTTCTCTAATGATTTTGAGTGACATAAGAGTCTATTAATATATTTGTTCTTTGAGATTCATATATTTAACAACATTGTATTAGACTTATCAATGAAACACAATTCACTTTCAATTGATGTCTTAAGGCTAATAGAAATACATCCTTTGACAAGAAGAAGAAATACTTTTGTAAATATATATGTCAATCATGACCTTGACTGCCATATCATTGGTCTAATTATTAGTTTGCTTATATCTTGCACAAATGCAACAATATTCAAGTAGATGGAAGTATGAAAAAAAACCATAAAAAATACTTTAATTTTGGATAGTATTTATTGGCAAACTTAGTATTTGATGTAAATTAGATGGTTATTATTGACTTCAAGTCTTCAACCATAATACAATTGATCAACAAAGAGTTCAACTATAATTTGGCTAAAGCGTATATTGCAAATAAATATTGTATTAGGATTGTAAAAAGAAAGTAGACTTTACTCAAAGAAATCTTCATCTAACTCAATCAAACAAAGGATATGAAATGTATTGTAGATTAGATTTTTATCTATTGCAACTTGTATAATTTTTTTGCTGAATTAAATAATGTATAGATGATTAAATTCATGGAGATTGGCCAAGAGCCATTAGAAAATTATACTATCACATTAAGAAAAGAAATTCTCTTCAAAGAAAAGTTTTGAGACAAAGTCATGGTACACAATTATGCATTTGATGTTTTATCAATGCTAAACTATATATATTATGAGACATGATATATAAACTTAAATACAAGGTATAAATCAATTTTATGGATAGGCTTTCTTCATAAGGATTATAATTTGTTCTATTTCTTATGTACTTTTTTTGTTTTCCTTAAATATGACTAGACCATATTAATAAATTTGGATCATAGACATATATATTTACTTCAATAATTACTTATATGATTAGATAAAAGTAAATAAATATAATTTAATTTCATATAGTCTTTTAGTAAAGCTTTCTAGAAGCTTCATAGACATGGTTTTGACTTTAGATGTGTTTGTAGGTTGAAAACTTGGCCAATAAGTTAATCACATGTTGATAGCTTATGGAACAAGTTAACTCCACATAATAGCTTGTGCATGTGGTACATATATAGATAACTTGCCTTACAAGTTAAGACATGTGGCTAGCAATGTCAACATGTTTTGGAGGTCTAATAGGATATTGCCACATAGCTCTTAGTTAAGAGTATATATGGAGGCAAGAGTGAAGCCTTCTTCACTTTTATCAAGGTCGTTTTAGTCTTTAGTCTTATTTTAAGAC